GTTGAGGATCTTGTTGTTGAAGAGTCTAGAAACAGAGCAAAGCAGAGAGAAGATGTGACTCATTCAGACCAGACAACATGGCTTCAGCAGGAGATCAGAGTTCATCTTCAGCAGACTGCTGCTCCAGGATGGTTTAAATCTCCAAACATCATCTCTGGAGCAAAGAAAACTGCTGGAATCTGTCTCTGAGCAACTAAAGCTAAAAGTCAAAGTGCAGCTTAAGCTGCTCAGAGTTTCTTTATCGGTTCATTAATGAGGATCTGATTCTGACTTTGAAACCAATAAAACCATTAAAACTCACCTGTTGGTCCTTCTGAGCTAAAATGCTTAAACTCCATCAGTGAGTTCAACATGGAGCAAATGTCAATCAGAGACGCTACGAAACCAGAGACTAGATGAGGAGAAACTGTTTCCTTCTGGCTCTAACAGAACGACTCATTGTGGGAATAAAACTTTCCTACCCTGCCAACAACATGAAGACACTGAAACTCAGCAGGAATCAGGAGTTGGAGAATGAAAGATCTAAGATCCTCCTTCAGCCCTTCCACCTGTGAAGGATGATTTATCTGTAGACTCAACAGAAGAGGCTCCTCTAAGCTGCCTGCTGTAGAGATCACATTAACTGATGTTTTCACTTCAGCCTTAATTGGTTGAGTCGTCTCACTTTTGGTGATACATTTATTACCAAGAACCAAAAGCAGTTTTTAATGTTATTTCATCAATGAATGTAAACAAAGCTCCAAACCAACCTGATCCTATGTTAAACTATTCTTACCCTCCATATTAAATCTTAAATGAATTGTGATTTTTCCATTTTCTGGTCCAGCCACACCCAGACCTTATCAGCTGATCTGTAGAATCAATAAATCACAGCAACACATCAGGCATCAAGAAACAAAGCAGCTGTCTCATGTCTGCTTCTTCCTCTTTGGGGACTGATCTCTGTCCAGTTCCCATCAGAGAGCCGCCATCATGGCCCCCATGTCCAGGGAGCAGAACTCCAGACTGACCAAAGGCTGAGTGGACCTGGTGGCTGACATCAGAGCCAAAACAGACTGTTTGCAACATTTCCCTCTGAGTTTCAGATGAAGATACTGGAGGAGGGGAGATCCTGAGAACAAAGAACTCTCCTGCAGCTATGAAGCTAAATGCTGTTTCTTTAAAGATTTTTCATCATTTCATCTGTTTACTGTTGGTTAATGCAAGCTAACTAAATAGACTGCATGGTACGCCATGCTAACATGTTTATAAAGCTAAAACAAGCTTTATTTCACTAATGGTTTAAACACTGATATAACGTTAATGTTCATGTGTTTTCTCATATGCTCTTTACATTTTGATCACCAAATGATGACCAAAAGTTAATTAATGGTAATCCTCATGTCTGCTCGCTACCAGCTCAATCAGAGAAGGTTAGGAATCAATTAACTAAATGTTATTGGTTCCTGATTAAACTAATTATTTAATGAAACATGATTTTGTTTTATTTATCTCTTGGTTTGAACACATTCCATTTGCCATAAATTAGTAAAAAGCTAATTTGATCAAATTCTTCCAGATAAACTTTGGTTCTTAAATATAAAATTCATTCTGAACTGTGATATCATTGCATCATTTTATTGATTTATTGATGTTGTTCCTTCTTCTTAGTCGAGTTTCACTGGTTTAGTCAAGAGTTTTAACTGAAATATGTTTTAGTTGGAGCTGAATGGTTTTTGTTGATAAACTCTTATATTTTGAAAGAAAGTTGTGGTGAATTTATTCCATATATGTTCTAAATCATTTGTTGTTCTAACACACAGCCAGATGGATGAGTGTGTTCCCAGAACAATATGTGACAGTCTGGA